GCACTTTAATTTTCTGTGCAGAAAATTAAGGCTCATTAAAGCACTCCCCAGCACACATCTATACGTGCACCCTCATTGGAACAAAATTGAGCCTGATTGGCACAGCCCAGTCCGACGAGGAACAATTTGCTCTTGGTCAGCTTCTACATGTACAGTACCGTGCATTAGTTAATGCATTGTTTTCTAGTACTTCTATCTACAGGTACTAGAAAATGGTGCAGTAAACTAATACACTGCACAGTAATTGCTGTGCATGTGTAGACAGCGATGCTTTACTGCGCATTAGATAAGTCTAACGTGCAGTAATTTATGCACCCTATAAATACTGAGCACGACGACCAGGAGGTGATCCCTCAGCCTGTAGGAGAACCTGCACACCTGTCATATCAGCAGACGCTGCTGTCCTCAGCAGACATCTGTTCACTGCACCTTCTGTGGCAGATGTTAACATGAACTTTTTCCTTTGGAGATGCTACCTCCTAAAAGCATGACCTCTTGGGGAACCATGTCTGCTAGGGATTTTAACATTACATCCTGAAAATGTCTTTCTTCACCAGCACTGCTGTGACCCTTGAAAAGTACACCCTGGTAAAGATTTTTCTCCAATTTCTGGGGCAGCTCTTACCAAAGTTGGAACCACCTAAGGATGGCACCACGCACCCCAGGGGGCTAACTTAAGCATGTTCTCTGACCTGTGCTACAAACATTAGCAAGGCCCCACGCCCATAGGAAATGTCTGCTGCAGTACTGTGACCTCCTTAAAGTACCTTTTTCTACCACTACAGATGTAGATACCTTGTCCCTTTGTAATCAAGCACACAACTATTGCCTCCAAGGGGATGCCATTTGGTACAGAAAGTAACTTGGTCCACCATAGCAGCAGGTCTCAAACTGATCTGCAGACCACTGCTGGTCTTTCAAACGCTTGCTGACAATCTGCAAAGAGCTGGCAGGTCAAATGGTGCTGGCTACTAACCCAGGGGTGGGCAAAATGCAGGCCAGGGCCCAGATGCAGCCCACCAGGCCATTTTATCTGGCCTGCGGGGCCCCTAAAAAATTTAGAAAATTAATATTTATGTGCCCTGGCTGCCTATCATGTAGTCCTTGATGGCTTGCCAAAACTCAGTAAGCAGCCCTCCGCCCAAAATAATTGCCTGCCCCTGTACTAATCCCTCAGTTCCATCTACTTCTGCAGATATTGAAGCTTCTTGTCATGGAGATGAAGAGCTGGGATCCTTGTTAAACCAGCTGGAAAGAGGGCACTCACACTACCTGCTCCAAGAGAAAACAGGGGCCTATCATGCACTGAGGCGTTACCACCCAAATAGATCAAATTAACTACTTTATTTTTATTGTACTTCTCCAGATAAGCATTTGCTGTGGTTGCCTCAAGGTGGAAGGGACATGTCTACAGACAGTCTCAACTACCATGTGGCTTATCTCAGGAATCTGGGTTTTCCATTCACTGTGGAAAAACATGGAGAAACACAGATTTTCTCTTTAAAGGAGAAAAACACAGGAAATAGCAGGTTTTCCCTTTCAGGTTGGCAGAGTTCTAGTCTTCAAGGGGCTGCAGGAGTGGGAGGAGAGTGATCAGGCATGTGCATGTGTGCACACATGCATGTGACAGCCACACAGCAGTGGAAAGCAGCTCCTGCAGCTCCCTCCAGGTAAGTCTATGGGGGCAATGAAGCGAGGAGCGGGGCACAGGCCATGTATCGGTTGGGGGGGGCACAGATGATGGAGGGGCACATGCTCACCCAATTTTGTGTGTTCACAGCAGGGCACAGCGCTGCAGCCAGGCTGGAACTGCCTCTGCGGCCCAGCAGGTAGAATCTGGAGTGGGAGGAAGCATCATGCCACCATGGCCACCAAGGTGAGGAGACCCCTGCCTGCCTGGCAACAGCAGGGGCACAACTCTGTGTCACCGCCACTGCTGCACCTCACTATGGCAGTGCAGTGGTCCTTCCCACACCACATCCCACCCACTGGGCCGCAGAGGTGGCTCCTGTCTGGAGCTGGTCCAGCTCGGCTGCAGCCCCACACCCTGCTGCAGGTGCAGAAAACTGGGATGGGGCATGTGGCTCCTCTGCTGCATCACCTGGGGCCCCTGCCCCATGCTGCATCACCTGCTAGGGGTGGGGGGCAGCAGGTCAGGAGTGAGGGGCACTAGCAGGGCTGGGGGGGGCTGTGGGTTGCAAGTGAGGGGCAACAGCATAGGCAGGGGCAGGGCACCAGCATATCAGGGCTGCTCAGTGCTACAAAGCAGCAGGAGGGACAGCCACAGCTGGATCTACATCCTGGTGAGTGAAGGGGGCAGAGGAGATCTGATTTTCCATGATAAAAGGCCCAAAACCAAAATATATAGGTATTTAGAATTTATTTTATTATAATGACTGAGGCACCAGTAGGCTTTCAAATTGCTTTAAAATTGTAAATATATTAGTAAAACATTGCGTTCAACTGATACATATATATATATATACATATATACATACATATATACATATATATACACATACATATATACATACATACATATCTATCTATATCTATCTATATCTATATTATATATAAAATGACGTTTCATTTTAATTGCAGAAAAATGTGGATTTTGTGCGTTTTAATCAGAGAATTTGCAATTTTTAACAGAGAAAACAGGGATCCCTAGTCATCACTATGACAACATCTGAGAGCCACTGCATGTGGTATCTTTTGTCTGCCTTGCTGGACTACAAAATGGTACCTTTAGCTCAAAATGGACAGAGCAAGGACGCAAACTGTGTTATTCTTACACCCTGAAGGTGACTACTGACACACTTGCCTTTTCTTAGTCATCATCTCTGCAGACCAAGTGACAATTTGACATACCAAGGCATACAGTGAACACCAACCCACAGCAACCACAGTTCTCTATGGGATTTTCTATGCATCTGATGAAAAATGTCCTCTTTTCCTTCACTTCCTGAACCCTTCCCCCAGCTGCACTCCTCAGAGTGAAATGCATTCCTCCATAAGCACAGCAGAACAAGCACCATGTTGGGGTAGAAAGGAGACTAGCGTGGGAGGGTGGGAAAGGACCCATGCCTGTAAATGCCTCTCTGGCAGATCAGCTGCCTGGCCCTCACACAATATACAAATGTTAATAAACCTGGCATAAATACTAATATCTGACAGGTAGAAAATGGGAGATACAGGGCAAGTAAACAAGTGACCAAACCAACATGCAACAAAAACCCATTTCAGGGAGACATACCTGTGAAGCCTCTTGAAATACGCTTGAGTGGTAGGGTGCTCCAGAGAGAAAGTATAACAAGTGGTTTCTTGTCTCTTACATCCAGAGCAGATGTGGATGATGAGATTAGAAATGAGACTGAATAGCTGCAGCACTAACGTTGGGTGCCGGTGCTGGCTCTGACCTTTTCCAAGGTGTGAGCCTGCTCTTTGAGGGGTTTGGTTTAGTTCTGTCTCAGATTCAGATCGGCCTTTTGCAAGAGTTACCAAAAGAAACAGCAACCAGACTATCCTTGCTGTCTGTCCAGCCTTGGTGCAGCTCTGCTGGGTGGATGGAGGACTCTGCCAGGCTGGGCCAAACATTCAAGTCACAAATGCCTGATAAGTCTTGCATTAATTTCATGGTCAAGAAGATGCTGAGTTAAGTTGAAGCTGTACTTTTCTGCCTGGGGGTGGAAGGCCTCAGTACAGTACTTACCGGAGGCTGGTACTGGTGAATGGAGAGACAAGACTGTCTGCCAAGGACATAAACAGGACACTCCACAGCTAGTATCTTTACTGAATGAATTTATTGGTTTTTGAACTAAAGTTGCTCACAGTTATTTAACAAGGGATACATCAGATTTTTTTTTTGTCCATTTTAAACTGTTAAATAATGTCAGTTTGTGTCTGTATATGTGTGTGTGTGTGTGTGTGTGTGCGCGCGTGTCATCAGAGTACAAAATAGGAAGGATAACAAGAGGTATTGCTTTCGTTTATTCTTATATCTTGTGTAAGTAATCCCCTTCCTGCTTGTACCACATGGGTTTTGCTGATATAAGTTTTTTAATTATTATTATTATTTTGTATTGAAATCCCAGCCTTTTGTAGAGGTACAATGTAACAGAAGCATCAAAATCTATACACAAGGGAAGAGAAAGGAGGGAAAAGGGGGGGGGAGGCGCATGGGAGGGGAGCTTGGAGGAGAGGTGGAGCGCGGGTGGAGGCAGGAAAGACAACAAAAGCAAAAGAGACTAATTTACAGCAATGTCATGCAATTAAAACTGTCCCCCTCTCCTGCACCCTTGCCTTCCCTCCCATCCCTGGCCATCAGCCCTGGCGCCTGACATGCATACAGCAATACAAGAGAAAAAGTTGGAGAATAGGGAAAAGAAAGAAAGAAAAAAAACCAAAAAAAGAAACCAAATCCCTCCCATTTGGGGGATGGGGGTCAAAGGGCAAGGGTGAAAGGTCATTGCCCTAAATGTGTTGTTAAAAAAATTGCCTCTTTTTTTTCAATCTTCAAACCTATGTACAAGTAAAACTGGTCCAAGAGGGGGGAAATTAAAATAAAGAACAACGACAATCACCAAAAAAAGAAAGAAAAGAAAGGAAGAAAAACAAGAGAGAGAGAGAGAGAGAGAGAGAGAGAGAGAGAGAGAGAGAGAGAGAGAGAGAAACCATCCAACATTATCATCAAAAAGAAAAAAAAATCTTGTGGTACAACATACACCCATAGGAACCCAACAAACAGCAATCAAAGGTCATAAGAGAATTGCACACTAATGCTAAGCCTACATTCTTAAATCTCAGTAAAGAAGTACTTCTCATTTGTTTTTGTCTTCAACGCATAAAAACTGTGTTTGATTTGTTTAATCTTGGAACTTGGGCCACAATAAGTTACCCTTTGTCATGTACCTCAGGGGGGAGGAAAAAAAAGACGAAAAAAAGAGAGAAAATTGTCGAGTTCACAAGATGAACATTTAAGGGCCTTCATGTCTTTTTTTCCCCTCCCCAACATAAATTGGAATCCGTGTCGCCTCTACACAGTAATTAAACAGAACAGAAGATATATCTAACAGCTTATTTTTTAAATATATATATATGTATATATAAATAATCAAGACCTAATAACTTAAACACAAAAAAACAGTCCCCCATCCACCCTACCCCACCCCCTATCCCCCTTTCTAAACAAAAAGAGTTTATAAAAATATCTTGCAGTACTTTTTAAAGTTTACAGTAGCTTTGTGATTAATTCGCCCATAGCACTGACTCTTCTTGTCTTGCTCAGATGAACTAAGTGCCAGTGGTTTACACACGCACACACACGGAAACAACAAAAATAATCCTCATAATAATTCTCTTCTCTTTGTCCTTAAAAAAAAAATTAAACAAAACAACCCAACACATCAAATAAATAAAGTGAAACCAGCAAATAAATAATAATACTGATATTTTGATGCAGCACTAGCAACACGAAGATTGCATCCAATGCGCGATGAGACGGAGGGTCCGGCTGGGGGAGGAAGATCTCAATGCGGTTGCGGCATGGTTGGAGGGAGTCAATAGGCAGGGTGGAAGGTGGAGAAGAAGGAGCAGCAGTAGCAGCAACGGCAACGATGGTTGGCAGCAGGAGAGACTGTCCTTGGCTAGGTAGGATCCTGTCCCTCATCTTTGCGGCCGGACGTTGCCTTTTCCCTAAGTTTCAATGTTCGTTTGTGTTTGTTTGCTATCCCTACCCCCCCAAGTCTATCTTGTCTCCCTCCAGCAGGTTGAAAAGAAAAATTATAGAGTATATAAAAAAACTAAACTCAATTTAAAAAAAACAAAATAAAGAAAGGAAGAAGAAAGGGTGGTGGGGGGAGGAAAAAGACGTCTGAGGATATTCCCCCACTGGAGCTCTCCAGTAACTGTCCTGGTTCAATGCTTTGATTTGACTTGTTCCTTGGTGGTCTCTGAAGAGAGTGCGCCCTAGGCTTCTTGTACCATTTCCTCCCTTTGTTTCGTGCCCCCCTCCCCCTTCACCTCTGAGTTCACCTGCACAGATGAATGTTGTCAAGAACAATGATGTCGCTCCAACAATTGCAACCTGCTTCCAGCCCAGACCGTGAAATCCCATTACTGAGCAGATCTCTCTCGTGGAGCACCAAAAAGAAAAAGAGAAAAAGCGTGTGTTGGGGAGGCGTTTGGGGGGGGAGCGTGGGGGAGAAACCCATTTCCCAGAGGGAGGGGGAGAGGCTGGGAACCTCAAACAGGACTGGTCCTTGGACAGTCTACATCGGTTGCCTTCCGTCAACAAGTGTCCGCAGAGCACAGAAGGTGAAGCCGTGGCTGGCATGTTAACTTTTCGGGATAATTCCTGGTAGCAGAGCGGAAACAAGTGGTGTCGTCAGAAACACAGAGAGCATGAACGGAACAAGAAACAAAAACAAAAGAAAAAGAAATCAGGAGGGAAAAATGGGGGAAAAAATAGTCCAAAAATGGGGAGAAGAAAAAAATAACAAAACCAAAAAAGAAAAGAAAAGAAAAAAAAAACCACAACCCAAGATCTGGCGAACTGGGTTTTGTCATCTGTGCTACCTTTTCTTTGCTTTCTTTTTTTGTTTTGTTTTTTGTTTTTGTGTTTGTTTCTGAGATATATATTATATATCATATATAAATATATATATGTATATATATACAGTCATTCCTTCATACAAAATTTGTCTATAGACAGTTTTGTACTGTTGTGGCAAGGTATATACATCCTTCTAGTTTAGAGGCTAGCTTGCTAAGGAATATTCTTTCATTCTTTCTTGCTTTTTTAAAGTTATTTAATTAATTTTTTAAGTATGTTTATTTAAGGTTGGTCTTGTAGGCCGACCGATGAGACCATCTTTGCCTTGTCTTTGCCAGCAGGGTACTTATTGTCTCCTCTAGACCCATAGTCATTAGCATCGGAATCGCTCCGCTTGCTGTTTGCGCTATGCTTGGTTGGCGTGCCGGGGGGGTGGCTCACCTGCCCGTTCTTCTCGTCTGAAAAAAGTTGTTTAATTACGTCAAAGAAGTTACTCAATGGGCTGCCTGGGTACACAAAACAGAGGAGACAAAGAAAAAAAAAAAACAAAGAGGGAGAGAGAAAGAGAGAGAGAGGAGAGAGAGAGAACAAACAAACAAATGAACAATGGGGTTTTTAACGAGAAGAACGTGATGAGAGGTCCAGAGCCACGTGCGTGGGGGTGTGTGGAGGATGAAGACAATGAGCAGGAAGAGGAAGAGTGTTGGAATGGGACACCTATGGAAATAGAGAGGCTGGGACCACAGCCAAAGGGGGATGAGCTAATTTCATACCAAGGGGCAGGGTACTGAGATCTAACCGAGCAGGGAGGGGGCTGCAGCTGCTTGAGCCTGGCACGCAACACCACACTGTTGAAACAGCTATACTTATAGCCTGAAATTACTTGGCAACTTGAAGGGCAAGTGGAAAGTAGCCATTCCTGGAAAACTGCATTGATTAAAATGGGCCATGAATGCATGGTCACCAAATCATGCTTCACTTTGCCTTGCAGCCTTAGTAAGTTCCCAGTCTCTAACTACAACTCCCCTTCCTTCAGTTTGACTGACTGGGCTCTCCCTGAACACCTGCTCATCCAATTCAGCCAGCCCTTGGATCTGATGCATCTGTGCATTATGGGGGCGGGGGGGATCAAAGCACTTGAAAATACTGCAGGGCTGGCACGCAAGGGAGTAAGACTCCATCAGCACATGTAGCTTGTGGTCTGATCCTTCAATGTGCTGGGCATCCTTCGCAGCGGTTGACAAGAGTGAGGGGGGGAGCAGAGAATGCTTAGCACTTTGTGGGAGCAGGCCCCAATGCATATGCTTGTTTCCATTTTACATCTACCCAAAGAACCGTGCCTGCCTACGCTTATTTCCGGCATCTGCCCAGACCAAGAGTTGTGATATGGTGGATGTACTTTAGGTTTTGCCCTCTTTAAAATGCTGTCTTTGTTACACTGAGCTTCACTCCAATGACGCTGGAGGCACTGCAAGGTTATATACTCAGAGAACATGAGGAAGCTCTGGTGAATCTGGACATGAGCTCAGGGGACAACAGTGGCACAGGTTAGGCTCTGTTGCTCTCTCAGGACACAGCTCTTCATGCTTTTCCCAAAATGTCTTTGTCCACCCTTTCACCATTTTGTAAAACATGAGATACATTTGATAGTTGCCAGGTGCCATTCCCAACTGTGCAATGGAAAGACACTAAGGCACATGCTGGACGTAGTGCAGTGGGTCAGTTGAGAAGAAGGGCATGCTGGGAGTTCCTCACTTTACAAGGCATAAATAGTATATAGGGAGTCCAGGGAATGGATCTACTTCCATAACACCCACGTGCCTGCTTTTATTTAATAACTATCATGTATCCTATGGTGGTTTCCTGTGTCAACTGATTGCTTGGCAGTTATACATCCTCAAAAGTTCAGAGGGCAGAAGGAATCAGGGTATTTACCCTGTATGGGTCAGGCACGTCATCATTTTAGCTGTGCTAGCATATGACAAATGTGATGTAACTAAAGGCTTAATTGTGACACTACCATGAGCAAGAGGTGGTACATAAGCTGTACCACTCCAGGAGTCCTCCTTGGAAACTTTGTGACCCCTGTGTAACAGTGTCAGCTAGGCACGAGGCAGATATTTTCTGCTGGCCTATCTCAGCCACAAATTGAGATGCTCTCCAAACTGGCACAGACGTGCTGGCAAATGAACAGCAGGGAGAAGAATCCAAACTCTCCCCATGCCTCAGGCAGGTGCTCTAGAAAAAAGGGAGGGTGTATACTACACCACCCCTGCACGACTTGACAAGAGGTTACAGAAACCTTTGTGGAGACAAAAGTTGGCATCTCAGTTCCTCTTACTGTCTTGTATGAAGCCATGGTCCAAAACTATGTTTGAGTAGTCTGAATCCTTGTTGTCTCCAAACACATCAACCTAAGCCTATGGTCTTCTCAGAGCTAAGAAGATTCAGGCTTGACTGATTCCAGAATTGGTGTCCTCCCAGGAAGGAAGGTGGTCTCTTCCCTTCAGCCAAAAACCCTGGGTATGATGCTGAAGACACTGGTTGTCAGATCAAATCTAAAACAAAGTCCTGACTGTTCTTCGACCAGGATTCAAATCGATCCCTTAGGTCACTAAAGGGGATTAAGGTGGAATTCAGCTGCCTAAGTGCCAAAGAGTATCTCAGAGTGTCCCCCACAGCTCATTAACTCTCTGAATTCATCAGGAAGGCACCTCTATTTTGAACTGCAAAGTTCCTTAGAGGGTAAGCACGGGTAATACAGGGATGTGCGGTTTGTGGGGCCACAAACAGCTTTGTGGCCCCACAAACCACATGTAGAGAACATGAAAAAGTGTGCTGTGCTGCAAAAAAAAAAGTCCTGGGAAAAAAGCAGTGCAGAGCACGCCAGCAGTATGCACCAGAAAAAATGGAGGGTTGGCCATCCAGAACAATGCGCTGGTTGCCTGCAAGGCTCTGTGATGCTGGATCTGAAAACCTGCTGCACCAGGATACAGGTGCAGGTAATAATGCTGTTGGCCATAGCCTCTCCTACCCGGGACAATTTGCTGTGCACCAAATTTGTGCTGCTATTTGTGCCTCTACAGGTGCACACCCCTGCATGGGGGGACCTGCCCTACAGCTTCTGCAAATGCTCTGAAATGATTCAGGTGATATGCCTAACTATCACGTAGACACCTTTAGGATTCAGTTGTCTGCTGGGAGATGTTTAGACTCCACTTATGCCCCGGGAGAGGCTGCTGTCAGGTAACGCACAAAAAAAAAAATAATGTCTGACTTGCCCTGACAGCATGGAGTGCAGCACATGAAAAGACAAGAGCAGTGGCACTGTTGCTCAGCTTTTGGCCAATAACCAAGTAGCAAGAGCACTTGGCTGGGAAGTGAGAGACTTGGCTTTTATGGTACATCACCCTAAGAAGATTTGAAAACACACCTCCCCTTTTCCAGGTGAATGCCCTAAACATCCAATCTCCATCCCTCTCCACCCCCACTGAGTGGATAAGAGAGCAAGAGTCCTCAGGAGGCCAGAAGAAACCTGCCTCTTTAGAGCCAAGTGGTGACAGCCATCCCTTTGGAGGACACGGTCCCAAGTTTTAGTCCCTGCTTGATGCTGCTTTGTTAAAACTCAGAAATAACCCTAGCAACTAGTGCCCCTACTTGACGGGACAGGTATCCTCAACATGCTGCAGAGGTAGGCTCCCACATGCTCCAAAATGTTTATGCATCTGAACTTTGACCAACATGTGCTAAAGAAGCAGAAATAAGCCTGGCAGCAGAACCCAGGATTCACTGTTGCCGCGGGAGAGCTTTATCTTCTTGCCTACCTTTGCAGTATTCATTGTATTTGTTCTGCTGGCCTACAGGACACTCCAGTGCCCTTCCCTAGCCTCTTCCCTAGCCTGGGGGAAGGGCATTTTCTGAAAAGTGGAAGGTACGGGCTCAAACCTCCTAGAGGGAAAAGAGTCTGTCTCCTGCTTCCTGGACAAATGCTTTAACCATGAAGCTAATGGACAAATGGTGGGTGCTACCTTTCCCATGGCATGACCATCTTTTGAAACCGTGAGGTGGCTACCTCTTGAAGTTAGGTTAAGTATTGTGGATTGCAAGTGAATGGAAACACCTAACGGATTTGGGTGAGTTAGAAGCCTAAGCTCCTTAAATGAACGATGGTTAAGAACAGCCCCTGTGCTTTAGCATTTCACTTTGGTAGGTCTAAGAGGAAACTACCACTCCAGGTTCTCAGCACAGGCCCCTAGGTTCCTCTGAAGTCTCTTTCAAGGATCCTAGGCACCTAATCTGGACAAACTGAATCACCCACCAGAGCGAGGAGCTTAACGTGTAGGCACTGCAATGCATAAATGAAGGCATCAAAGGAAACAATGTGAATCCTGGCTCTGGTCACTCTATCAACAGCACATCTTTTCTTTCAAAAGTAGGATTTTTTGGATCTGTTGCCAGAAGCCTAGCTGGGCAGCTCTATGCCCTGGGACAGTGTTGGCTGCCAAAGTTGCAGGCATTTTTGCACCCCCTTCCACAGAGGCAGGACCCAGAGCTACTGCCCTAGGCGCCCCTCTCCCCCCAGTTATGTTACTGTCCACTGCCCCATGAGATAATTACACCCTGCCTATGTACGTTGATCCTGCATCTCCTAATGAATACAGACTGCTTCGATTCCTGCTAGCAGCGCTGCTGTGTGTTACGAAAAGGCTTGTGCCTTCCAGTTCAAACGTGGCTGCATTTCACTATTAGCTGCAGTAAGAAGACATTGGTGGCTGAGATAGTGCAGTGTTTACCAACACTTCAGTAACTCAGATGCCAGTGTAGACAATTTAGGCTTTTTAATGGTGACCATTGTACATAGCCTGTCAAGTGCTTTCAGATCCTTTAATTAAAGGTGCTAGACAGGCATCAATTACTATGATTATCCATAGCTCTTTTGCAAGGAAAGAGGATGTAAACTGCCTTTGTGCCTTGTAAAAGAGTGGTTGCTTTAGTCAACTCCATGGAGCCCAAGCAGCTGCAGTTCTCCCCCTGCATGCTAACAGGCACTGAGAAAATCACCTGGCTGGCACATTTAAGGTGCCAGGCCTGCCAGTCTGTTCTAGAGAAATTTGCCCTCTGTCTCCCTCCATTTGCTGCTTTAAATAAAATGTCATGTTTAACTAGGTGCAGTGTAAGTTCTGCCTGGCTCTGCCTGTACATCCAGCTACACCCCTGCTACATCCAAATAGCCACCAGGTGCTGGATAGGTGTGACTCTGCTGACTGACTCTATTGTACAGATGAGGCCAAACCAAACCCCAGATCACAGCACCGCTAGATCAGGGTGGAGGAGTGAAATCTGGACCTCAGTTTTAGGACTGAGATGGGACAAGCCCTGAACTTCATCGGCGTGTATCCAGGTCAGGACACAGTTATCTCACCACAGAGTGGGAGGGGGAAAGAGGAACAGAAGTTTC